TCTCAGTGCTAGGTGTGAGCTCTGCCTTCTAATGCAGATCTATGAGATTCCAACAGACAGGATATTAGCCAGAATGGACCACTGATCTTCACTGAGACTCTGCATCTTCAGTCATAGGGAAATTCTTTGATTTGTGGCCAGAGTCTGGTAGGGAAAAGGCCTCCCACATTATTGATGACCTGTGTAGAGTTATGTTAGATCTTTCTTTAGCTTCTTTAGAGGGCAGAAGCAGGAAAGGCCCTCTGCAGCTTTTGGATAAGGCCATGAGGGTCAGAACACTGTTTCAGAAAGGCACAGTGGAGCTAGGATAAGAAAGGTGAGGACAGGCAGTAGATGGACCCTGCACTGACAGGCCACAGGGGGAGGGGTACTTAGAATATTACTTGAAGTATTCTAAGAAGGAATGTAAGGTAAGTATGGTGAGAAGTGTTATAGTTATGATGACGTATGGGAGTGAAAGGTTCTTCCCCTTAGCCTTGTGCATTGCCCAATGGCTTTACTGTCTGTGATGGGGATTATCATGCCATCTTGGCCATGAACATCCTATCATGCAATCGTGGATGTTAGCAGTTTTATACCAGGGCTTAGGAGATACCCTTAGAAGTCTGAGACAATGCTCTTTTGAGAGAGAGGTACAGGTCACAAAAAGTAATCATAAAGCTGTTTCTAAAACATATGTCTGCGTGAGATGGGCTAACCAGTCTTCTTGGGTAGCTGCTGAGGGGCTGGTTTTCTGCTTTGGTGTCTTCGTCTCTGGCAGAGATTTCGGTCTGGTTCCTTCAGTGGTCCTGCGTTTGTTAGAGGGGACCAAGACCGTTGGGAGTGTCTGCATGGCCCTGTGTTGGATGATGAGGGTGGAAAATGGTATGAGTGTGTATGTGTATGTGCACATGTGTTTGTGTGCCATTTATTAATCTGCCTTTCACATGGTTTGTGGAATTTGTGCTAAGCTGGCCTTTTTGGTTTTATTTCTTGAGTGAGAAGGAGCTTAAGTGGTTTCTAGACTGGAATAAAAAAATGTGTTCACCTCTTTAAAGAGATCTTTTTGACTTAAAAAAGGTGTGTGTGTGTGTGTGTGTGTGTGTGTGTGTGTGTGTGTGTGTGTGTGGTGTGTATGTATATGATCCTTGCCCTGTGCCATACACATGGAACCTGAAGGATGGCTGTTGGGAGTTGGTTCTGTGGATTCAATTGCCATGTGGGTCCTGGGGATCAGACTCAGGCAGTTAGGTCTGCACCTAAATGCTTCTACTGGCTTAAGCCATCTCATTAGCCTTTAAGTATTTTATTGGAATTAAAAGATTGCTTTGAAAGTGATCCAGAGATATAGCAACTCATTGTTTGCATGTGAGACTTACAGTTGCATTAGGAATTTGCCTGTAGTTCCAAATGTCTGGTTTTCTGTTTAGAATCTGAAAATGTAGGGAAAATGTAAACATTGGCTTTTTTTTTTCCTCTTCCTAAATGTACCTTAAGGTGTGCACTATATTTTCTTATTTTGACACAAGGTTATCACCATGTAGCTCTGGCTGGGACGTATGTGTTCTAGCCTCTGAAATGCTGGGGTAGCAGCATGTGCCACTGTGCTGTGTTTTAGTTGAAGTCAGTGGAAGGGAGTGTAGGATTCCTCCTTTAGCTGTGGTTTAGCTACTTTTGGGACAACTTTGTTACCTCTGTCACCTACCAATAGAAATTCCATTCGAGCAACATGGTGTGCTGCATGCTGTCTTGGACTACAGTGTAATGGCTGTGCTCTGTCCCTGTCTTTGCAAGGACCCTCACTGTAACTGTTGATGGCTGTTACTGTCCTGTTTAGGAAAGTCTTATGAGGTTCAAAGCTCATAGGGAGGTAGCAGCTATTTTGTGTCCCTTACAGATAGCTTTAGTAGGCAGTTCAGAAGCATTCTGTTCTAAGTTTTGGACTCTTTCTTTTCTAATTACACCTAATTGATCTTGGCAAAGCTTGCAGAGCAGTTGCAGAAACTTCTTGTGTGAATACATGTAGCACACATCACCTTTTGCCTAAATCACTCGAAACTGCCTGATGCTGCCACCATCCTAGCCCGCGTCCTCAAAGTTGGGTCTGCAGACACCGTGATTTTTCTTTAAGAGGAGGCTATTGGTGCAGGATTGGAGTTTGAGAAGTGTTATCAATGGTAGCAAACACTCGAGAGTGTCTTATTCCTAACTGGTTTGGACTTTTGCCATTAGTGTTTGTTCATTTCGGGTACTTCAGAAAATAGACCATCCATGCAAATTTGGCTAGCCATGCACTTGTTTTTTACTTGTTTTTGTAAAACCCCATTCGAATGGTTAAGACGGAAAGGGAGAGGGGGCTGAGTGAGTGGTGTTAGCTGAGAGTAGAAAGTAGAGGTGACTCCTGAACTAGCCCGTCTCAAAAGCCTAGTATTTCCCCGTGTGTAAGTCATAGCCCTTGTGAGTAATGAACATGGCTGATACCCAGTGTCCCCTAATGCTCTAGTGGCAACCACAGCCACATCTACATACACCCAGTTTTCTTATGATACTCTCTCATGGCCCCGTTTTATATCCCTGCTGTTTTCGATACTAAGACTATAGGCATTTTTTTGTGAGCTGTTTCCTAAGTTTGATCAAAATCTTTCTGACTTAAAATGTAAATTATATAGCTTTGTCTTAAGATTTTGCACACCCTAAAAATGGGTGACCAGTTTGAGGTGTCTTTGGATATGGTTATGGAATCTGTCTCCTGTGTGGATCGTCATTTGAGTGCCTGCCTCAGCTGGGAGGAGACTTGATTCCCCCAGAGTTTTGCTGCCCGTATTGGGGTCCTTTGAAACTGACCAAAGCGGCGGCCTGCCAAGATGCCCATCCATGCAAACACGGTGCCGTTGCATGGCATGTTCCAGCAGACAACCATTTTTGACTAATCACAGCGCCCTTGGAGCACTGTTTTCTGACTCACATTTGCAACTGGTGCCTGTCGTTCTGCCTTTTGTGCCGTGGTGACCATCAGCTCAGGTCTCTGAGGCTGTCGCTTGCTTCATTACCTGTAGCTTCTTTTACCAGTACGTATCTCAAGCTCCTGTTATTCATTCTAGAACCCAGTGGTAATCTGAGCAGGGCAAGGAGGTTCTGCTTTTGTTGTTGTGGTTGTTGTTTAAATTTCTAGAATTCCAGGCTCTTAGACTTAGTAGCACACACCTTTAATCTAGCACTCAGGAGGCAGAGGCAGGCAGATCTCTGAGTTCAAGTACTATCCTCATCTACAAAGATAGCTCCAGGAGAGCCAGGGTTACACAGAGAAACCCTGTCTTGAAAAACAAAACCCAAACAAACCGTGGTAATTAATAATATTTATTATGGAGCACATAACATCATTATCTTTAATATATGTTATACACAATAATTATTTAATATAATAATTACTAGAATTATTATCATTCCAGGCTATTTTTATGATGTGTTTAACCTTGGAAAAGTTTTCCCACATCTTTTCAGGAGGTCATTTTAAGGGTCGTAGGAGTAGCCATTGTATTTTTAGATCTCATTTTCATGTGACATTTGTTCTTTGTGTCATGGAAATATCTTTTTGTAGTCTAGGACCAAGGATAATATTTCATCATTGGCTTGCCCAGATGGTGCACTAGTATAATATATGTCATTTTTCTTACCTGTGAAACACATTTGGCCATATAGGACCTATGTTGGTAAGGATTAAGCGAACTAGGATGTGTAAAACCAGTGATCCTCCAGCCCGCAGTTATAGGTTGTAGGGGGCCATACTTGCTACCACAGACTTATTACTATAAATATTTCATTTCTGTCTTTCACTCACTATGCTGGGGTCTTTCATAAGTTGGATGGGAGAGCTTTGTTGAATCTAAAATAGGGCGGGGAGCTAGGGAGATTGCTTAGCAGGTAAGAGGATTGGCTGCTCTCCCAGAGGACCCAGGTTAACGCGCAACCATCTGTAACTCCAGTTTTGATGCTTTCTGGCCTCCACAGACACTGGATGCATGTGGTGCATAGACATCCGTGCAGGCAAAACACCCATGCACATGCAAGTTAAAAAGGCAATATTAAATGCAGTATTAAAAAAGACAGGGCACCAAGGAAGGAGAGTCAAACTGTGAGCTTCTCAGAACAATTCCAGAGAAAACATGTTCTAGCCTTGGGTTGTGAGATGGCCCAGCTGGTAAAGAGTCTCATTGTCAATCCTTCCAACTAGGCAGCTCAATCCCCAGGACCCATATCTAGAAGAACAAAGCAATTCCCACAAAAACTTAAAAAGTTCTACAGTCTCTTGTTTCCATGCATATGCGAAGGAGCTGTTCACTTTTATTTTTCCAATTTATAAGTTCAGAGTTAATGGCACTCACGGAACATGTAAAATAGTAGGATGTGAAATTTGTAGTAGTTACTTTTCTCTCTGCTATGACCCAATGACAACAGGTCATGTAGAGGCAGGGAGGATTTGGGCTTAAGGTTGAGGTGATAACAGTCCATCATGGCAGGGAACTCACTGCCGCAGGAGCTTAAGGTGTTTGCGTATACAGGACCCGCTGTCAGGACGTAGAAATGAGAGCTGGTCTCATCCTGATCTTTCCTTTCTCTTGAGTCCAGGACCCCAGCTCCTGGGATGATGTCACCATAGTCAGGTTGAGTCCTCCTGCTCAGTTTAACTTTCCTAAGGACTCTTTACTATACCTACCCAGAGATGTGTTTTCACCATGACTTTAATTCTGCCAAGAATTGACTACGTGCTCCCGTATGCTAAGTAAGCAGTCCAGAAGACCTCTATGTCCCCTACCTAGAATCAGTGTTAGCATTTACTGCATTCCCTCGGTCTTTTCCTATTCAAGAATGCTTTGGTTTTGGTGTCTGCTCTCTTGATCACTGTCCTCTCAACGTCTTTCTCTTCAAGACAACAGTGAACTTAGTTCTTTCTCAGGCTGCAGTGTCTGGATTGATTGGAAGCGTTTCTGTTCTCTGCTTAATCAGTATGTTCTCTTGAACAGGATGAACTTACTGCTGTGAACGTAAAACAGGGTTTCAACAATCAGCCAGCCTTCACTGGAGACGAACATGGCTCTGCGAGAAACATTGTAATCAACCCCTCAAAGGTAATGCTGGTTGCTTCCCGTAACTCCTGGAAAAGGGTGTTTGCGCTACCCTTGAGGTATATATGTGCTATGTATGCCCCATTCTGCATTCCAGGGTTCCTCATGTTTGAAAACCAGGAAGCACACATGGTGTTGGTTGTCAGGCATTTCATTCCGAGACGACTACAGTGTCCCTTTCCACCTTCTGATTAGTTTTTATGGCTTTCGTGGCTGCCTCTCTAGTGGAGCCTGGGCCAGATTCACACTGCTGCTATAGTCTAGATCTGTTTCTGCTGAGACTATATTCAGGGCTTCTGTCAGGAAGAGCGCAGTGCCGTTGCCCAATTGTTGACTATACTAAGTCCTGTCATTCACTCACTGGGATACCCAGTGTCTTCCTACGTTATAAAAATAACTATTTCTATTTCTTGGTAGTCTCTAGTTATTACTATTATTTTTTTATTGAACGCAGGACGTGTAGATCCTGTGCATATGTCCTGCCAATGAGCTGTACCGGAATCCCTTTGTAATGCTATTTTGAAATCATATAAATAGCCTAGACTTCTATAAATTTTGCACAAAGGGTTATGATTTATTCCCTTCATTGTTCTTTCCGCTGCCCGCATTTTCCATTTTTGTTAAGTAGGGCCCCTTTAAACCCTGGTTAAGCATCCCCACCATTCTCACTGTTCCCGCAACATCTTCCAGGTTCGTCTTGTTCTGTCTGGTGTGCCTGGCATGCTCAGCCACTCTAGAGCATTGCTAGTTCCAGGCCCTTCCAGTGGACAGAGAGGACGAACACTCTTCTGTCTAACTTGCCTGTCTTCTCCACCTACCAGTTGCTGCCCATTTCCAACTTACTTCACACGGTATTTCCTTTCCTCTTTCTGCTCGGTCTTTGTGCCTTCCTTTCCCTGAAGTGAGCCTTGTTCCTCGCGGTGCCAGCAGAGTGTGCTCTGTGTCACAGCACACACACAATGTTTCTGAGTAGACTTCCTCAATGTCATCACAACAGCCTAAGTTCTGTGCACTATTTATACTTTTTCTCCAATACCTTTGTCCTTAGACCAACTTTCACTAAAAAAAATGTATAGTCAGAGTTGGAGAGAAAGGGCCTAGGAGGAAGGGAAGGAAGGGGAAAGTGATGTTATATTTTAATTATAAAATGTAAAAAATCATAGAATATTATGTTCAGAAGTTTCTTGAATTAAATATCTTTTTTCATGGATCAGTTAGATATTTAGATGGGAGTGTTTTTGTTCATTTTCTTTTAATGATTGATTTTTAAATTCTTTTTACATTATTATTATTTAATATTTTTACTCTCATGAAGTTAAAAACATCATATATACAAGAAAGAAATATATGACAAGAAAGCACAAGTCAATAGCTACACTTCTTTTGGCTCACAAAACCATAGAAATAATTGACTGCTAAACCATCAGTGAAAATGCTATTGCAAAGGTGTGAAAGAAAACAGGCATTTTCGTATGTAGTTCCATTGACCAGATGACATTTTTAAGTTTGTCTTCCGCAAACTTTATACACTTCTTTTTTTTTGTTTTTTGTTTGTTTGTTTGTTTTTTTAAAATATTTATTTATTATACAATATTCTGTCTGTATGCCTGCAGGCCAGAAGAGGGCACCAGACCTCATTACAGATGGTTGTGAGCCACCATGTGGTTGCTGGGAATTGAACTTGGGACCTTTGGAAGAGCAGGCAGTGCTCTTCACCACTGAGCCGTCTCTCCAGCCCCCTTTATACACTTCTTGTTACAACTATCATTATGTATTTGTGACTAATACGCACACACACACACACACACACACACACACACACACACACGTCAGCACACTTAATGTTTGCCACCTCACCCTGTTTTAGCGTGTAGATCTTGGGCAGTACACACATTCACACTGCTATATAACCATCACCCTACTGCCCGTCCCCAGAACATTTTCACCTTTCTTAAGTGATCTACTGCCATCCCCACCTGGCTTGGTCCAGGACATCTGAGTGGGGCAACTCGGGAAAGAAGAAACAGCGAACATTGAAGAAATGACATCCAGAAGAGCCAGGATCAGGTGAGCTGTGCCGGCTTTGATGAAGGGCACCTCCAGCAGTGTTTTATTATGCACAACACAAGGAGGATGGACTGGCTAATCTGGGCAGTAGCTCTCTCTAGTTGGACAGTTTCAGTCTACACACAAACATCTGGGAGGAGGAAACTACCATCTGCTTTCTACACATGTTGTGCGTGTATCTTTACAAACTTCATCTTCATAAAAACTGAGGCGGTGCCGCAGACAGAAGGGAGAGCTCTGTCTCCAGGAGTTTGTCCTCTGACATGGATGTGCCCGGAACCCCTCCCCCCTCTTATTCTCTTATTACAACTAATAATAAAATTAAAAAGATAAAATAAAAGGCTGTTGTCAAATGTAGCAACATTACGGGCTTGGGTTTCAGTGTGTGGATTTTGGGCATTTTAGAGTTTAGTTCATATCAGAGAGTAGGGTTTTTTTTTTTTTAATGTGTTAACGAGCTGCTCAATTCTTGGTTTCTAGTGTCAAATTTTATATTAATTTAAGTAACCAAATTAACAAAATTAACACCACTACAGTTTGGACCACTTTTTCTGTGAGATCTCTTCAGGGACATGTTATTTCTTATGTGAACTTGATTTCATTAGCATGAAATGCATGTATCTTAGTGCTTAACACTTGACCTTTCCCGTGCTCTTATCAAAGGAGCTATTATCTGAATACTTCTTGGCAGATAAAAACAAGTGTTGAGTTAACCTTCTTACACTTTCTTTGAAAGAGTATAAATTGGCATTAGACCTTTTGAGGGGTGATATGATAGTATAATTAAAACTGTAGAATCGTGCCATCCAAATTATCGAAATTGCCCAATACCTGCCCGCAACAAATGGGAAAGGTGTTCACTTTAACAGGATTCTTAACCCTGAAGTTTCTAACCAGTGCTCCAGGTGCCCGTTAATACTCTCTTGATTAAATAAAGGACAGCGCACCCATGCAGAACATGAATGTTTAGCTAAACAATTAAATGAATCCCACATAAAGGTAGACTCATACTGAGTGTGCATAGTGAGCCCGATATGCCAGACAGGAAAACCCAAGTCTGTGTCTGCTTGTGTCTGTTCATGTAAGAGAGGAGCAGGCTACGTAACCAGCTAGTCAAGTTGATGACTTGGAGGTTGGAATGAGGTCTTGAGGATGGGGCTTTAAAAATACGTGTCTTCTGAATTTTGAATAATGTAAATATATTGCTCTTAAAAGGAAGCTAAGTACTCGAGCTGGTTGGTGGCAAACCTGTAATCCAAGTGCTGGGAAGGGCATGGGGGCAATACCCCAGGCCAGAATGAGACCAATCTTGAAACATTTATTAACGTGATATTATTTTCACCTTTTTTTTTTTTGGAGACCTAATGTGCATTTCTCCTGTCTTATTTACTTAGGAATTTTGACTTTGCTTACAATATGACCCTGTTTATAAGATTCACTAAGAAGAATTATAAAACACTTATATTCGGTTTTTTCCCATTATTAAGAGGGTACATTGACCCCTTAGAGTAATTTTCTTTTTTCGTTTTATACCCTTGTTCATTACGATTAGCATACCTAAACATAGTGGCAGCTTAGAGACCTCTTTACTGTGCAGTAGTATATATGCCCTTGGTAGAAAGATCAGTTGAGAAATTTAAAATCTTAACAATTTGTCACTAGTGACTGCTTGTTTACAGACAGTTGGTCCTGCTTCTTCTTAGTTTATCCTCAGAAAGTTCTAGAAACATTTGCTTTAAACAGAAAAACTTCAGTGAATTTGTTTGAAAGCCTAAATCCCATATCTGTGCTTCTGCTTACTCTGGTGTTTGCTCGCCACTGTGCTATTCTGTGAAGAGACACAGGACTAAGGTAGCCAGTACAAAAGAAAGCCTTTAATTGGAGCAGCTTACACTTCAGAGGGGAAATCCCTTTCCATCATGGCTGGGAGCATGGTGGCATGCAGGCAAGCACTGAGAGGTGACTGAGAGCTCCATCACGGTCCATAGTCAGAGAGAGAGAGAGAGACACAGAGAGAGAGAGACAGAGAGAGAGACAGAGAGACAGACAGACAGAGAGACAGACAGACAGAGAGAGGGAGAGACAGAGACAGAGAGACATAGACAGACAGACAGAGAGAGTGAGAGACAGAGAGACAGAGACAGACAGACAGAGAGGGAGAGACAGAGAGACAGACAGACAGAGAGACAGACAGACAGAGAGAGGGAGAGGGAGAGACAGAGACAGAGAGACAGAGACAGACAGAGAGAGAGGGAGAGACAGAGAGACAGAGAGACAGAGACAGACAGAGAGGGAGAGACAGAGATACAGAGAGACAGAGAGACAGAGAGAGACAGAGAGAGAGACAGACAGAGAGAGGGAGAGACAGAGAGAGGGAGAGACAGACAGAGAGACAGAGAAAGACAGACAGAGAGAGACAGAGAGAGAGGGAGAGAAAAAGAGGGAGAGAGAGAGACAGAGCGAGCTTTTACAGCTTCCAAGCCCACCTTCAGTGACAGACTTCCTCCAGTAGGACCACACCTCCTAATCCTAATCCTTTCAAATAGTGCCCCTTCCTGATGACCAAGCATTCAAATATATGAATCTCTGGAGGTATTCTTTTTCAAACCACCGCAATTTTTATTAGCACTTTCTGGCTCAGGGAATTTCTATTCATATCAAACAAAAAATTTGTCCCAACGTTTTGTCCCAACGATAAACCTGATGAATGGCCCCAGCCAAACTAGGTCAGACTATGCGTGGGACTTACCTCCAACTTTTAACTGCGGTGGGATGCTTAGTTTTGGATTTTTCCAGAGTAGCGCTGTTACCTCACTTGGGTTGCTACTGCTGGCTAAGGCTCTTTTTAGAAATTGTTTGCATCATATGATTGAAAGATCCTCAGGAAACAAACGTGCTGCTTTCTGGATTCTTGAATACTCTCAGGTTTCCTGTAGGTTTACAGAATCTCTTCTCTTCCTCCTGTCCTGCCCTTGGCCATCTCCCCTTTGGCTCCTTGCTTCTCTCTCCACCCCACTGCTCTTTGCCCATCCTATACTATAGGTAACATGAAATGGTAAAATAACTGGCCAAAGCCGGCTTCTCTGCCCTGTCCTGTTCCATTTTAGTGACCCCCCTTTCCTTGTCTTCTTGTGTTTTTTTTTCTTCTCGTGTTTATAAAATTAGCAGCGCACTCAAAATGCTGAGCACCTAATTTAACTCTACCTTTTGCAATCTTTCTTTTAAATAAATGTCTCTAGGTTCTTTAAGAAAGCAACATCAAGTGTTAACGTCGGCTCTCCTTTCTAAAATCAGGTGCTATTAATTAAGATTAAGCAAAACAAGGGAAATGCTCACCTTGATTCTCTGTTCCCAACTGTTTGGGGTCAATGGGACAAATCTGCTGCCTAAGGTTTGCATTGTGTTACCCTACAGAAGTCACACTGTTGGGCTTCAGGACTTACTGTGTGGAAATCATGGTTTTGGGCTTCAAAAATTTAAGTTTCCATTTTGTTCTCTGATGGACTGTGTAAAGGTTTTAGTTGAAACAATGAAGATGAAATATGTAACATTAAGGTAGTTGCACATTGTCTTTAAACACTGTCTTGTCTCCATTTCTTCCTGTAGATCGGCGCATACTTCAGCAGCATATTGGCTGAGAAACTAAAGCTTAACACTTTCCAGGACACCGGAAAGAAGAAGCCCCAAGTTAATGCTAAAGATAATTACTGGCTGGTTACTGCTCGATCTCAGAGTGCAATTCATAGTTGGTTCTCTGACTTAGCAGGAAATAAACCACTTGCTATTTTGGCGAAAAAGGTATCAAGTATTTTCTTCCATTGTTACAATTACAGTGTGATAAACAAAGATGTTTGACCTAGTGTTCACATGTTCGTTCATTTTCCCTTGCTCTTTTATGGCCCAGTTACAGGTGCACATGGCCAGATATCACTGTTCGTATGTCCTTCCCTCTATATTTTGATTACTTGAGGTGCTCAGGGCATCTGAAAACCTAAAGAATCTGCACAGAGGCAGTTTAGGTGGACTTAGACATAGTCCTAAAATTTAAAAGTAGGCAGTGAGGCTTCATTTCTCCCTCATTACACTTTTAGTTTTCTTTGATCAAGATGTCCATGATATGATAAAAAGAGCCCTATCAAATATCCATCCCAGCTAGGAGCATAATCCCAGGCTTCTGTCTATAATTCCAGTACTTGGGAGTTACACACACACACACACACACACACACACACACACACACACACACACACGTAAATAATAGCCTTAGGCTAAGTTCAATCTTATTCTGGGTGAGCTTTGTATTAATGAAACATCTTTTAAACAAAACAAGCAGGTGTATTTATTACTCGCAGCATTTTTGAGAATGATGTGTATAGGGTGGGTGGGTGGTATTAATTTCTTTTAAAATCTTTGTCTCTCGGAATTTTCTTCTGTGTGAAAAAAATCCATATATAGGTTCAATAATCTTATAGTCTGAATAATACAAGATGTCCTTTGAAAGTTTACAGTAAAGAAATTAGAAATCTCCCTCTTAGTCTTTGTCTCTGACTTCTTGTATGCTTTTGAAGTAGTCCCAGGGGTCTCTTTTCATCTCCCCTGGTGCCCCTGAGTTTTAGGGGTTGCCATCTTCTGTTCTAAGTAGGCCATTACCACTTCCACCTGGTGTGAATTAACTCAGAAGAGAATGCCTTGGTGTACTTGCATATTTGTTTTTGAAAGCGACTCTTTGAAAAATAGTACCTGCATCCTCCATTGGCTTTATTTTGCTATAATATCTTGACACTACACATGCCTCAGATAGATAGATGGATAGATAGATAGATATATAGACAGATAGACAGACAGATAGATAGATAGATAGATGGATGATAGAAATGAAAGGCACCCGCAGTCTTTGAAGAACACTTGTTTAAGTGTGACTAACTCTTCCTATAGAGTTAGTGCCACTGTCTCAACCTGGCTGAACTATGGAGCTGGAGCTTTTCTTCCCCAGTGTTAACATCTGTTTGTGGTCTCACTGTGGCCCATGGACTGATTGTCTCTGAAGGCCATGCAAGCCAGAGAGCATCCTGCAGAGTTTGATGGCTTCTGAACGCCGATTCATAGCCTCTCTCTGTGCTGTCAGCCGGGTGTTCTTTAAAGTGTCCCTTTGTTACAAGCTTTAAGAGTACTTTTTGGATGCTTTCTTAAGGTGAATATTGGTAAGGAGCTGGTTTCTGTGCTTCTTAGGGGTGTAGGGGTCTCTTATCTTTTAAGAGGGACGGACAAAAGTCATGGTGTGCTGTATTAGCCATTGTTCTTCTTTCTTTATTAGGAGCTGCCTCTGGCCAAGTCAGGTGTCCCTCAGGTAAGCCCTGGCATTACTTCTTTGCAAACATAGACATTTTCTTTATAAAACGTTGACTCTGATGTATTCATGTCTTAGGCGTTCCAGGAGTCCTTCTTCTCCTCTTCTCAGAATTTCATCCTTTTGAGATGGCAGAAGCTCTTGTAGATTTGGGCAAAGGACCAAATTCTCTACATGGTCTTCTTATTCAACTACTTAGTTAATTTCTGATGTTTACATGTAAGATCTGGAGTCATCTTCCAGTTCTTCCCCAGCTTTCAGAGTACCTTTCTCCATGGAACGGATCATGTTTTCAGCACAGCTTTCCATTAGTATGGAGTTACACAGTACTCTAGAGGGGCCCGTAAGGACTTTTGGTTCAGTCCACCATTACTTGGGAAAAGGAACATGCGGGCAACCAGGGATACTCTTCCAACTCTTGAACAGTTGTCTGGTTCTTACTTATGACTGTGCCCTTGGTTCTTATGGTCTGAATTCCTTTTTGATCTGGTCCTGATGAGGTAACAGAAGATGCCGATGGTGGCGAACATCCAAGGGCAGACGTGGTGGTAATGAATAGCCTTGTGCTCGTGCAAGAAGCCCACACTTAGCATCTCAATTTCTTTTGCAGCCTTGGATTGGTTTAGAAATTAAAATACTGCCCAGTGATTGCCTAGGTTCAATGTCAAGTTGATGTCAGGTGTTTTCCTTAAAAAAAGAAAGAAAGAAAGAGAGAAAGAAAGAAAGAAAGAAAAGAAAAGAAAGAAAGAATCTATCACTGTAAAAAAAAAATCACTGGAAAACATCATTTCCTCCCCAAGTAGGCCCAAAGTATAGAGTGGACAAAACCATCACACATATCTTTTCACTTAATCAGCTAACTTTCTTTGCATCTGTTTGTTTGGATATTGAAGCCCTGACTTGACTCAGCTCGGGGTTTTGCCATTTTGTCCTGTGCTGTTTATGTAAGATCTGTCACTCAGTTTTCTATGGTATTTTATCTAAACATTTCAAATTTTCAATTGTTTGCTTGTTTCCCACCCACCATTTGCTGCTTAATAAATCCTTTGGCCATCTATGAAAGATACAGTTATCAAGACTCTCTGGAGAGAGCATTTATCTGTGGTTTTAGGCCTTGATCTTACCTCTTTTTGGTGTGTGTGAATGAGATGCAGCCTGACCTGGACTGATACAATTTAAGGCACTGGTTCCATATTTTATATTCTAGTGAAAAGCGTCAGGTCTTGAGCTGAATGTTTGACCCTGTGTTTTGCTTGTCTCTGTCTTAAATGATAGTAAACACAGAGACCTTGTTCCACGAAAGATGTGCCTTGTATTCTAAACTTGCAGGGTATTTTCTTATTAAAATGTACCCCTGTGTTATGTGGAGAAGAAGCTTTACAGAATTAGCCCATATGTCTTTTTGCCTCCTGTCGTGTTTGTGCAGTGTGGTTTTCTGTGTCATGGTGACAGTGTTCTGAATAGTACTTAAGGCAACGAATGGACCTGATCAGAAAGTTTTCAGTTTTCTTTAAACACAGTGTAGACACACAATACCCCATTGCCCAAGGCAGGAAGTGTTCCTCCAGCATTGGACCAGCTTGGTGTTTCTTTGGAAAACCTGACTGAAATAGCTTAATCTTACAGGTTATATATATATATAAAAATCACGTGAAGTTTTTAATTCTGGAGATCACATGTACCAGGCATGCAAATAGATAAATTTAAAAGTCCACTTTGACTTGGCAAACGACTAGAACAATGCTATGCTCTATGAATTGGCAGGTTTGAAGCTTTAACTTTGCAACCCAAATTTAAGTATGATTTTTTTTGAGTAGAGAGATCAGGTTTCTTGATATCCAAGGCAGGGTTCCAGTGTCTTCTTTTGAAAGGGCCAAATCCATGGCATGAAAACATGTGGGCTGGTATAGAGAAATACCCAATCTGGTGACAAAATTCTCCTTGCTGTAGTTTTATGCCCATGTTTTAAAAAAATAGAATACCCATAGGTACATAGGATTGGTATTATCAAAATTCATAAATGGCTGGAAAATGATGGACTTGACAAAACCTAGGGAAGTATTACAGAAGTAGTCACCCTGCTATGGATGTGGAATGTGTGCACCTTACAGTTTGGCTAGTCCCATCCCACTGCATTGTAACAGATGTCCTCTTGTTGACTCTTTTCATCATATTCATAAATTGAATAGATGACACAGAATAGCAGGATGCTTATAGGGTATTTATGAGATATTCTGGAAGAATGAATTAACTCTTTCGAACTATTCACTGGTATATTGGGATACTAATTTGCTGAATTGTACCTTTGTGGTCTTGAAAAAATAATTAACAGCCTCAAGTGTCTACTTTAGCCAGCGAATTAATTGCTCAGCTATTGTAGCTCAGTGTGTATGAGGCGGATTCACTGATCCATCATCTTACACTCTACTTAATACTTTGGGCTAAAGATACTTTCAGATAGTTTCTGGAAATGGTTGTATTTGTGAAAGGTTGCATTTAGCCCCATACAGAAAAGTGTCCCCAGATAAAATGCAGGATGGTGACAAAGCCTAGCTTAACTGTCCCATCTGATTTTGGGATAAATCATTTAGAAAGCATCAGGGAATTATTTAATAACTTTCCTCATCTGGAAATGCGACAAGACTTTGTTTTATAAATAAGAAAGCACAGCTGATAACCATTTTTCCATGTGCTAAACATAATTTTGATTTCCGTTTCTTAGTGAAAATTGGCTTAAAATTTCTTCCCTCTTTTAATACCATGCACTGTTTGAAAATGCATTAGACGGTCTTTCTTGTAGCAGCATCTAACTTCCAGCCCTTTCCTTGCTCCCTTCTCTGTAAGTTCGCCTAGCAATGCTATCGTGTCTGATTGTTATATGCTATTTCTTTCTAGGTCCCCATCCTTAGCAAAAAAGAGGACGTTTTTGCATATTTAGCTAAGTACTCTGTGCCAATGGTTCGAGCAACGTGGCTGATCAAGATGACTTGTGCCTATTATTCTGCTATTTCTGAAGCTAAAATTAAGAAGCGCCAGGCTCCAGATCCCAATTTGGGTAAGTGAGGCAGTATGTGGTATTTCTATCTCCTTCAAGTGATTGTCCCCTGCACTCTCTGAGAACTCAGCACCCCTCATGGTGAGCACTGAGAAAGTCTAGGGTGCAGCAGACAGCTACTCTCTCTTCACTCAGCATGTCCTGTTGATGTCCCCATGATTTTGCCCGTGTTGACTTCTGCACAACTCAGTAGTGGAGACGCTGGTCAGACCATCATCTCTTGTCGGGGCAAAAGCATCTTCTGACTGCTTTTCCTGCATGGTTTTACTCCAATTTAGCGGGCCTTACTGGTGTTGGTACCCCCTCCTACCCTGAGTTCACTGCCTCGTTTCTGGTCAGTAACACTGTCTTTGCCTGTGTAATGACAGTTGATGCTAGTTAATCTTGCTAACGCAGCTTTCCGCATTGTAGCTAGAGTGATCCTGTTAGGACAGAAATCATGCCACTCTTGCGCTCAGAATCCTTTTATGAACAACTGTCCTACTCACCTGCCTCCCCCCTTGGCCAACACCAGCAGCCTGAATGCTTTTTCTGACATTAAACCTGACCTCAAACAGGTGGGCACTGTTCTTCCCCGCCGTAGATGCCCAAGTGTGTGCCCAGTGGCTCCACCATGGTATTGCTCAGTGAATCCTGGGGTCACTCTGGCTAAAATTGCTGTTGCCTTGATCTTTGTTTGATTAACAGTTGTTACTGCTGCCCGTGACATTAACTTATTGGTTATCTGTATTCATCCATCCCAACGAGATAGTAAGGCTGCATGGTCAGCTTTGATTTGTTCAGGGTTGGATTTCTTCTTGATTTTCTCAGTCAGTACTGGTCTCTCAGGATAGTATTTGGATACAGAAGTTGTTCAGTAATTTTTAAAATAAATGAATAAGAATAACTAGGCCTGGAGCATTTATGTTTGAATGTATGATGTCATTTTTTGGTGTGTATATATGTTTGAAAATTTTCTCTATGCCAGGTGGTGGTGGCACACACCTTTAATCCCATTGCTTGGAAGGCATAAGCAGGTGGATCTCTGTGAGTTCGAGGCCAGTCTGGTCTACAGAGTGAGTTCCAGGACAACCAGGGCTGTTACACAGAGAAACCCTGTTTCGAAAAATAAAAAATTCTTTTTTCTAATTCCGTTTGAGGGCCATGCCACTGGGGCCATGCCGATCTGGGTGGGCTGTGCTGCCACCCAGGGCCATGTGCCATTCAGCCATGGATCATGTCTGTGTCCATGACCCAGCTTTAGCCAGGGTCTGAGTCGATATCCATGGCGCTTGTTACCATGGAGGGCTGTGCCCCGGGTCTGGACAGCCATTTGAGACCAGGTTGGTGTCTTGATGTTGCTGGGGCCATACTGATCTTGGTGGCTTGTGCTGCCACCAGAGTTACAGGTTGCCAAGGGTCAGCCATATCTGGGTCTGTGTGCCTACTGCAGCTGGGGTCTGTGATGATGTTCATGGCCTGTGTTGACACAGGAGGTCATAAGAACTATGTATGTTAAAATAAAAGGGCCATGCTGAGTAGGCCCTGCCAATCACTGGCTCTGGATAGCTGGCTTTGCCCCTCACTGGACCCTGCAGCAGGAGAACTGATCCAGACCCCCATAGTAGAGCTGGCACCAACACTCGAAAAAGAAAGTATCCCTACCACTAGCATAGGTGTTTAAGAACTGGCCCTGATGGCATGGACCTAGGAGAGCTGGTTCTGACCCTCGCCTGATGGGTCCCAGTGGGGGATGGTCCCAGTGGTTCAAACTGACTAACTCAGCTACTACCCAGACCCACACCCTGGGTCTTGGGTTGGCCCACCCTAACATCTAGTTTATGTATGACCTGCTGGAGCATCTGAGGGGACTGATCTTGTAGAACAATAACTTCAGGATTCCCATGACTTGGGACAATAGTAGAATATCTGAGAGGAGTTTTGATGAGAGTTCATTAATGATGATGCCCCAGAGGCCTTGAACCAGACCGAATGACTCATTGCAATGGACATTTTGTGGGTGGGTTGGGTTGGGCAAAAGGGTTTATACTGTATGCCGTACCATAGTGCCCAATAACCCTAGTAGGATGAATGATGAGGTGTTGGAAAGGTGGAGGAGCAAGATGTGTTGTTTACTTTCTTTTGGGACTGCCTGCTCACAAATAATGACAAGAAGAATTCTTGTTAATTATGAAAGCTTGGCTTTTAGCTTAGGCTTCTCCCCCACTAGCTCTTATAACTTAATTAACCTGGTTCTATTAATTTATATCCTGTCATGTGACGTGTTTTACATCTCCTCCATTCCTTGTGCCTGACTTGGTTCATGTCTTATTGGTGTCTTCATGCACCTAGATCTATTTCCTCTTCTTTCTCCATGGACATCCTGTCTGTCCTCTCCTGCCTAGCCATTGGCCATTCAGCTGTTTATTAAACCAGTTAGAAGGCAGCTTGACAAAGAATCATATTTCACAGTGTACCAGAAGTTTATCCCACAACATTTCCCCCTTTTTGTCTAAATAAAAAGGAACGGTTTGAACTCTAACATAGTAAATCTATATATAATAAGAACAATTATCAGGTAAGAATTACATTCATACTGTCCAGTCCACTTGTATTTGCCAGATTCAGAGAAAGTACTTCATTATCTATCCTATCTTGAATCCATCTAAACCACTTTCTATCATAGCTTGTATTACCAACCTAAAAATATTTTTTAGACTTAAAATATTTTCTTAGATAAACAACATAAGCTTTTATGTCTCTCAACCTGTATAAAAGTTATATCTCTTGTGTAAGTTTTTTTTTAATTTGATAACTAAGAAAGCAGCACAACTGTTTAGTCTCCAACCCCCATCAGAGACCCAAGAAGTATAAAATATTACTTGAGTAATCAGGAAGTACAGAGCAATCAACTTCCTAAACTATAGAAATACCAGAAAAAGCTGGCTGCCTGTACAGTCACCCAAGGTTCCTTTGCACATCCATCTCTGGCCTACAGGCCTAGAATATATGACAGACTTTTCTGTGAAGCAGGAGTTTTGAAGGAATATCTTCCCTTGCCTTAATAATGTTTGACAGTCGCCTTCTTTTGTGTCCTGTTTGTCCAATTTGGAGAGCATATTGCCAGCAATAGAGGCAACAGAATTTTCTTGCCTAGTGGCTGGTTTTGCCACATTGAAAACAAACTCCATATGGAGGTTCTTTGATGCCCATCATCCTTTTTTTGAAGTTGATTGATGCTGCCAGGAGCAGATGTGTCTCATGTCATGAAAAGCCTTATGTTATTAAAATATCTTAAATTCCATATTCTGTAGGTCTCTGAAGTGCTTGAAGAGCATCAATCTAAAATATATCTGTCTAACCTTGAAAACATACCTAAAATGACTACATTTTTGATGGTTATTTGACTGACTGCTGATCTGCATTTCTTAATTGTCCTTAACAGTTTGTAATAATAGCTTTTAAGAACTAGAACTTTACATTTTAAGAAGAGATACTTAGGTACAGTGCCTTAAACAAAAGTAGAAGCGTATATACGGTATGTTGAAACAAAATAGCCTTATTTATATCAATATACAAAAATCTATATCAATGTAAAATATTTAAGGCTAGTAGTTGCTTTTTTTTAGTTTAAAAGTAGAGTCAAAATGTACTATTTTTTTTCTTTTCAGAAAGAGATCACTTAATCTAATCTTCTCTTTTTAGTTGTTTTCCTGGCCATTACCAGTAACAACTTGAAATTTTCTCCCCACCCCCAAATGATGACCAACATTTATAACCCACCGAATGACCAAAAAACACCCACCACACCTCTTGAGAATGTGGCAGTTGTGTTCTTTATATTCTTTCCTCTTGTCTGAGGGTGATGACATCTTTAGGGAACCCTGAGAAAATTGGGACAATGGTCAAGTCCTAGTAGAGCTAGCTGTATTATATTTTGTTTAGTCTCTGTATATCCTACTTGGTCTGCATCTTGCTGACATCTTTGCATCCATAGATTGATTTTCTCTTCTTCTCTCTCCTTGGAAATCCTGCCTATTCCTTTCCTACCAAGCTATTGGCCATTCAGTTTTTTATTAAAATAGTCAGCAGGTGCTTTAGCAAAGACATGTATTCATAGTATACAAAAATATTAGTCCATAACAGAGGCGGGTTTTTTGTTTTCTTTGTTTTTAATTTATTCTTCAGAGATTTTTTTTCGGGGGGTATGCTGCAGGAGCAAGGGGAGAATATGAAGGGGCTGGGCAGTGAGTAGAATTGGGGTGCATGACATGAAATTCCCAAAGAATCAATTAAGGATTATGGTATAATTTTTCTCCAATTCAGAATCCTTGACACTTGTATCACTAGCTGTACTAACTGGCTGGACTACGCCATTCAGTAATTGTATGTAGAGGTGCACACACACACACACACACACACACACACACACACACGTGCATACACACACGTGCATACACACACAGTTTATTGTTTTTTTATTTGTTCTTGCCACTATTTTCTCTTATGTTCTGCTTAATTTATAACTGATAATGATATGAAAGAGATGCACTCGGTAGAACATCAGACTTAAGTACAAAAAGTTAGAGTCCATGGTCGTCAGGGAGCATGGCAGTAGTCAGGCATTCATGGTGCTGGGACAGTAGCTGGAGCCTTTGTGTTGAGACACCAAAGGTGGGCCTGGGGAGGGGCATGTGAGTGAGGAAGAGAGAGAGAGCATGCTAGCTCGGAATGGCATCGACTTTTATCTCAAAGCTCACCCCCAATGGCACACCTCATCTAACAAGGTCACACCTCCTAATCCTCCCCAAACTGTTCTACCAACTGTGGAACAAACCTTCAAACATGAGCCTCTGGGGAGCAGTCTCTTTCAGGTCACCACACCAGAGTGTAGCACCCTCTATATTTTCTGGCTGGAATGTCATCTTTCCCTATCACGTACATTAAATACAAGGAGTTCCAAGTTTAAGAGTCATGTCACCCTAGCCTCAGGTGCATTTTGGTGGGTTTCCATGTCCAGC